TATGCAGGACAGTCCTCTACTTCAAGAACTGTATTAAATAAAATGAAGATTGAACCCTACCCCGAATCAACTGGCAAGACCACGTTTTGGTATCATACAGCCTTATATCTGGGCTGTTCGCGGCGACAAGTAGGGTGTTTTCTTCATCTCCGATAAAAGCTGTATCAAAAATTTCATCATTAAAGCCAACATATCGTCTGGTAATTGAAAAATTTTCCTTCGAGACCAAATAAAGATTAAAATCCGAGGCGACAAGAAGGAACTGCGACTGCACTTCATTGTACAAAATCTCATCTATTCGACAGCTGAAAAAAAAAAAAAAAACATATGAAACCCATCTTGCAAGTGTCTGTTCAACAGCTTATTTGCTGAAGAGTATTTTTTAAACTTATCTCAATACTATTGTATAACTGCCAAAAACTAAAAACAAGAACCAAGGAACTTTCTACCCTGCCTTCCAAATAACAGTTATATAAACAGTAAGACCACTACGTACTCAGATATTTTTATAGACCGGATCAACTTTGATCCATTTTTAGTCCAACACTTTAAAATGCCTTCCTCGCCTACAGTAAACAATTCATGATCTGCCAGCACACCGCATTCCATCGGCTCAAAAACTGGCATCACTTTCACTTTCTTGCAAGTTTCCAAATTGACTGTGGATACGGTTTGATCTCTGCTTAGAAATGAAACCTCCTTCTCGTCTTGTAATAAAACAGAAACAATCTGACTGAAAAAAAAGAAGAGTTATTAAACAGTTCAACATATAAAAAAGTAAATATTACAGCCTTAAAACAATTTCTGATTTGAACTCCCACAAAGCAGAAATTCTGCGCTTAAAAAATTAAAAACTCTGTAAAAGAAAAAAAACTAAGTCATATAAGACTAAAAGAATGAGCGAAAGAGAGCCGATACCTAGTGTGTAACTTCCATGTATAAATTAGCTTCGTTTCTGACGAAACATCAAAAAAAGATGACGAGCCATCAGAATATCCGACAATCAAACGGAGAGAGTCGACAAATACGATGTCGCTAACGGCACTTGGACCTCTTAAAGAAGCTATGCAATTCTGGTTATCAACATTCCAAACCTAAAATGGAATCTTCTAAGAGACAATAAAATACGGTAAAACTGAGAAAGTAGAAAAAGCAATTGAGCAATTTCCATGCCAAATAGCCAGACAAAAAGAAAATTCCATGACTGCACCGGAAAAAAATAGACTTTGAAATCCATAACTTCATTGCCCAAATTTTTAAAGTCCAAGATTAACTATACGCAAGAACAAGGTGAACAAAAAACATCTAGAATAAAGAATAAGTTTTGTTTAAAACTTTGGCGGAACAGGCTGAATTAAAAACTGAAGGTAATTTTTCATATAAATTAATTACCTTCACTAGAAAGTCCGGGGCACCTGTTGCAAGCAAGGTGGCATCATTACAATACTTCATTACAGTCACTGGTGCGCTGTGAACAGATTTCCAGCGACGGTTAAGCTCGGTACTACACTTTTTCACAGAATCCGTTGAGTGAAGTGTATACCGACATATCAGGCCATTCGCGTACGCGAGAGTAATTGAAAAACTTGGTTCTTCCAGCAGCACCGCACAAGTTATTTGGGAATTATCATCGGCATTACCGATGTCATAACTATAAAGAAGTATGTCTATTCAGTTGCCTAACTAAACGGCTGAAATTAAAGCAAGTTTCTATCTTTGGTAATGACAAATAATTATTAAAATGGTTATGGAACCTTCAGACAACCAAAAAGAAAATCTTGATGATTTATTGATGTATTTTTTCCCCAGTAGTTAAAGAGCAAATTTTTAACAATCTTTTAAGCTTCCTATTACCAAAACGTGACTACCGATCGAACTGAAAAAGTTCAATACGATTTTATAAACATCGTAAAAAACAAAGATTTTCGTCACCAAACGCTTATAATCAGGAACACCAACCATGGAAGTCCATCTTCAACGTTCAGTGCTTTGACGATGCTACCGCAGACAGTAAAAATTGTTTTCCCGTTCTGGCACCATTGTACTGATCCTCCAGTATAAAAAGCGTCGACACATTGCTTAAGTTTCAGCGTTTTTATGCCATCCTTCATTATCCAGCAGATCTAAGAATTTTAGGAAGACTTACGAAAAATGCTTTGAAAAACGGTAGAAAACATGCTTCAAAACTGTGAGAAACTAATAAGTTCTTCCACCAGTCCACGAAAAAAAAAAAAAAAACACAAATTATAAACTGTCACATAAATCACAATTTAAAATACACAGAATCCTTCATACTTTGGTATGAAATTTTTTCCATGCAAAATCGTTCTGGAGAAATTCCAGCGACTTTGGTTGAATGCCATTGTGTTATACAGAGACATTCAGAGGTTATCTAATCAACTTCCTTGAAGGTGTGCCTAACTTCTGTGTGACATGTTTAAATGATGTGTTATTATTAATGTGCTGTTTATCAATGTTTTAGCCCTTCGTCTCCCGAATTATTTGCTTTTTGGCCATTTTTCTACTGAGATTTCTGCTGAAATATAACAGGATTTTCATTATTAAAACATACTTTTTAACCCATTTACTGTTATAACTTTGCTTATCTCCAAGAAATATCTGTTGTTTTTATTTTATAAACTACATAAACGGGAGTTAAAGAAGTGTAAAAAAAATGAAGTTATCAGACAGCTGAGTGAAAAAAAAAAAAAGCAGTTCTAA